TTGTTTGTTTAGTTGGTTTTCAAAATATACTTTCAATTCTTGGATTTGCTGTCTCATGTCTTCTCTAAAATTCCGTTCCATCTGAGTTAGGTATGCCTTGATTTCTTTCCCTGTCCATGTTTCTGATGCTTCTAGGTCCTCCTGTAGATTTAAGTTGTCCTGCATTATCTGTACTCCTTTTTTCCCTGGTTTTTTCATGTTGTTCATGTTACTTTCCAGCTCTGTTTGACTGCTTTGTAACTGCTTTCTCCTATACATTTGTTTTGGCTTTGTTTATATCTGTTGTTTCTCCTTTGTGGTGGGAGATTATGCCTATAGATGTTGGGTTTTATTGTACTTTAGAGCTGATTCATTCAATTTATAAAGGGCTTCCGGATTTTGTATGCATATAGTGATTTGTTTTTTGTTCTTAGGACTTTATGTTGGGTGCTATGAATGTATAAGGGTTAGTATGTCTTGGCTACTTTAGAAGATTGCTCTACTGAAGGGGGATGCTAACTGTCAATTGGATCAGGGTGTTGGTAGTAGCTAGGTATTTAGGAGCACTATAGATGGCCTCAAAACATTCACCTGTTTGCATTTAGACAGTTACACGAAATGGAGGATGTAATACTTGGGATGAAAGTTGGGGGGAAGGGGAAGGAAGGTGCTCTTGAAAAGAAAGAAGGAGGGGGAGTTAGATAGCATAGAGGAGAATGGAAAGAACAATAAAACTTGGAAGGGGAGAGAAAGAGGGAAAAAGGGAGATAAAAAATAAAATAAAATAAGAAATAAAATTAGGTCTTAGAGATCCATTTTCTTCTCTTCCCGTAGGCAAAGCTGTGCCCTCCGGGCTGAGATTTGCCCTCAATGTGTCAACAGCAATCCCTGTAAGGCGGCTCCTGGGAGTCTCTCAATCCTGTTGGTCCAGAGCCGTTTCACTTCTACAGCCCCTCCTCCCCTTCCTCCTGCCAGCCAGCCAGGTCCTGTGCACCGGAGGAGGTTCTCCAAGGATTTGGTTACACTTTCAGCCCCTCTGGGTGCTCTATTTCCCTAATGACTGAGCACTCTCTCTGTCATTCATCTAAGCCCCAGTGCTGTGGAGCTGTGTTCTGGGAGTCAATAGTTTAATTTTTCCGGACCCCTTTGGTGGGCACACCTTCGGAGTCTGGCGGCTAAGACCATTGGTGTCGCCACTGGTGGTAATGGGAGTTGGGGGTCGAGGATCCCATCTGCTTCCCTCAGCCCCTACAATCACGACCACTCCGCTGGGAGTAGGAGGAGTTGGGGGTCTGGAGTGTCCTCTGTTTCCCTCCGCCCCTACTGTCACGCCCTCTCAGTTGGCGGTTGGGGGAGTTGGGGGTGGGGAGTCTTCTCTGCTTCCCTCCACCCCTGCAGTCACGCCCACATCACTGGCAGTATTGGGAGTTGGGGGTCGAGAGTCCTTTCGCCCTTACAGTCACGCCCACGGAGAGATTTTGAAGTTTCCCGGTTGTTTGTATCTGATGCGGGTGGGAGTCACACACCTGCTAAAGTAGATTCCGCTGGGAAGGAATCTCTTTGGCCGAACTTTGGTGACTTCCCCTCTCTGCAATGGCGGGCCCCTGCCTCCTTGCTGGAGTGTCCGAAGGGAGGGGTGGAACTGGCTTGTCTCTGGTCTGACCCAATCTCTGGTTTTAGTTCCCAGTTCACTATTTCATAAAGGCTTGGTTAGATTTCCTTCACGTAGTCTCAGGGGGTAGCCCTTTGCCGGGTGGGCGGGGCCGTTCGCAGTGGGGGCGGGGCCGTTAGCAGAGCTGGGAGGGCACAGGCCGTCTGCCGGGCGAGGACCCTTCTCGCCGCACAGGGCCGCTGGGGGCCGCCTGCAGAGCCTGGGGCGCTGGCCGCGGGCGGGGCGCCAGCAGAGCCCGGAGGGCTGGGGGCCCGTTTGCCAGGTGGGCGGGGCCGTTTGCAGAGCCAGGAGGGCAGGGGGCCGTTAGCCGTGCGCGGGGCGTTAGCAGAGCCAGGAGAGCCAGGATGGCGGGAGCCGTCTGCCGGGCCAGGTGGGGACCCTTCTCGCTGCGCGGGCCGCCGGAGGCCGCCTGCAGAGCCGAGCCTGCGCTGGCCGGGGGCGGAGCCGCCAACAGAGCCGGGAGGGCGGGGGGGGGGCGTTTGCCGGGTGGGCGGGGCCGTTAGCAGAGCCAGGAGGGCGCAGGCTGTTTGCCAGGCCAGGCGGGGACCCTTCTCGCCACGCCGGCCACCGGGGGCCGCTTGTAGAACCCGGTAGGCAGTGGCCTCGTGGCTAAGAGCCGGGCGGGCCGGGTGGCCGATCACAGAGCGAGCGGGGCCGCCAGGAGAGCCAGGATGGCGGGAGCCGTCTGCAGGGCCAGGCGGGGACCCTTCTCGCTGCGCGAGCCGCCAGGGGCCGCTTGTAGAACCGGTTGGGCGGTGGCTGCGGGATTGGACCACTAGGCCCACGTGGCTGGCCAAGATTCACTTGTCTGGGGCCAACTGTCACCTCTAATATAACTTACTACTTCCTGGCTGGTCTCCTTTCAGCGGAATTTTGCTAGAAGTTCCTCAGTAGGTAGAATGTAGCTGTTTTAATGGGTGTTTCTGATCCGGTTAATGTGGAGATACTGAAAGTGCTGCTTCCTTGCCGGCCGCCATGTTGGATCCTAGGGGCCATTTATAACAGGTAGTTTAGTGGGGACAGGGGAAGAGAGAAAGCAGCCTGAGCTCCTTGGGGAAAAAGAACTGCATTCACAGTGAGTTACATCTTCCAAAATTATTCAAACCCATACTAAAAACTGTTAACAATGATTGTTTTGAGTTGGAATATGAATTTGAGTTGCATTTACTTTTAATATCCCTCCTTAGAATAAACTAAAATGAAAAGAGCCACAGAAGAAGGAAACCTGTTTATAATGCTGCAGATTTTTGGTCTCAAATTTACACCACCCTCATGACATCTTACTAATATACCCCTGTCCATGTGTACTTCAAAATGGAGTGTGTGATCACTAATGGACTGAAAGTGTTCTTTTAAGTTCTTCACAGGCAGAACCTAAGTTTGTGGATATGTGCCAATTTAAACACATGCTTTGGTATGATAATCAATCTGTCAGAATAGCAACTCAAGAAGGGTATGAAAAGTGATAGGATGTGTTGTTGTGTACATACACATTTGCTTTTCACAAAGGAACTGAAGATTTCTCATGCTAAAATCAGGGAATTGCAATGATACATTGAGCACACATAGGGGATAGGAGAATGTGAAAGACAATTCTATTATGAGACTTCAAGTCTAAGGAATGTATAATACCCATGAATAAATATGTTCATGGATTCAGGGATTCATCAAATAGTCTTTAAATCGTGACAATGAAAACTAAACATTGTAAACTGGGGTAGGTTAAAATAGTGGATAGTCATTAAAAGATTTTACATGTAGAAATTTTTTATGATATTATAACAAAGGAATTTACTGATCATTATATACAGTGATATTACAAGACAATGTTATATACATACAAACATGCACATCAATAGAAAGGTATTAAACAATACATTCATAAGTAGATAACATATATACCAATGATTATATGGTTTTCTTTTAGACTTTGTTTATTACTCCTTTGGAAATTTTTCACAAATAATATATAACCTGTTTAAATAATATAGGCTTTTTAAAATGTGCATTTGAGAAAAAGAACTGACTGTTGACAAAGCTTCAGGACTACAAAATATGGCACTAAGAAAGTTTCTGTCATCAATTCCATCTTCATACTGGAAGAGGAGAAATGTACAACCTTTAAAAACAAGCATCCAGGCATGGTAGCACATGTCTGTAATCCCAGCAGCAAGGGAGTTTGAGGCAAGAACATTGTAAGTTCAAGGCGAGCTTCAGCAACTTTTTGAGGCTTTAAGCAAATTAGTGAGATGTGGTATCAAAATAAAAAGTAAAAAGGACTGGGTATGGGATCAGTGGTAGCATGCCTCTGAGTTCAATCCCCAGTACAAAAAAACAAAAACAAATAAACAAACAAACGAACAAAAACAAAATAAGCAAGACTCTCACTTCATTCATGTGCATGCATGAATGAAGTGAGAGTCTTGCTTATTTTGTCATAAGCAGAACCATTAATCCCAAAAGTCATAAAATGTGCCCTCTTCCCATTATTAGTAATTTATATTCACATTATTACTAGAACTTGTACTTTGATATTCTTTAAGTATGAGAGAACCAGTCCAGTTTTTGTGATTCACATGTGCTTTTAAAAAAGAATGTTAAAACATTACCCCAAAATGAATCAGACTTTTAGATCCACAGTATTTGAGCTTATACCCTCATGGATTTGAGCTGTTCATACACTATTTATCTTTGTTCTGTTTCACAGACACAGAAGGCTGCCTGCCTAACTATAAAAATACCTTTTCAAAATCTTTTCTGTGTCAACAGGGGGAATACAAACATTTTTAGTAATGGAAAAGAAGATGCCTGATGGCTATTTCATCAGTAAATTGTAGACATATATTCTCATTTATATGGATGACAAACACAAATACAAACTCACATTTGGGAAACAATAATTTTTATTGAGAGGCATTTATATGGGCTGTGACTCAGAAAAAGCTATTATAATATTTAATAGAAAGGGAAATAGTAAATATACTGAATAGGAAGCGCATGAAAATTTCTTACACACACTAGAGATATTAGTATCCCATAAATAAAGTTGAAATTCTTAATAGCAATCTGATATATAAAACGAGCTTTATGCTGGCCATGTCACAGTTAATTTTACACATACATTATTTTTTATTTCAAACGAATTCCTAAAAGTTGCCTTCAAATAACACTTAAATTGGAGGAAAGAAGGCCAAAGTTCTTAGAAGCAACGCATCTTATATTTTGCATAATTATAGTTTAGGAGAACACAAAGAATAGAAAAGTTGAATGGGAGTCCTGAGAAGAAGTGAAACTCACACCTATTGTAGTCAGAAATATAGTAACAATGCTCTTTAATTTGCACAACTCTTTAGAGTTTAAAAATTGCTTTAAAATACATTTTTCTCTGAGAAAATTCATCTTTTGACAGCACCTTCTTCAGAGCTGCCTTCATGGCTTCATTTCGCAAGCTATAGATGACTGGATTGAGCGTTGGAGGTATTACAGTGTAGAATATGGAGAACATAAGATCCACAGCTGATGGGGAATCTGAAGGAGGTCTTAGAAACTCAAAGCCCGCGGCTGAGAGGAAGAAGGTGACTACAAATAGGTGTGGTAGGCAGGTGGAGAAGACCTTGGTCCTGCCCTCTGCTGATGGGATTCTCAGCACCATTGAGAAGATCCGAATGTAGGAGAGCACAATGGATATCAGACAGATAAATGCTGTTGAGGTTGTGAATGCAGCCACTGCAATCTCATTCATGAATTCATAAGAACAGGCAAGTTTCAACATTTGAGGGACATCACAAAAAAATTGATGAATAACTCTTTCCCCACATAGAGGAATGGAAAAGTTAACAGTTGTGTGCATGAGCCCAGAGAGGGCCCCCGCCATCCACACAGCAATCACTGCACGCCTGCAAGCACTGGGATTCATAATGGTCTCATACTGCAGTGGTTGACAGATGGCAACATACCGGTCATAAGACATCACTGTGAGGATTGCCACTTCTGATGAGGCCAGAGCTATGAAGAAGAAAACCTGAAGAATACACTGACCAAGGGAAATGTACCCACTGTCCATAAGTGAATTTGCAATGGACTGTGGTACTGTGACAGAGATGAAGCAGAGGTCCAGAAGAGAGAGGTGCTTCAAGAAGTAATACATGGGAGAATGCAGATGGTGGTCCAAGGTAATGATGGTAATAATGAGGAGGTTGCCTGTTAAGGCCAGAAGGTATATCACCAAAAAGAGCAGTGCATGTAGAACCTGAAGCTTATGGTCATCAGAAAACCCCATGAGGAGAAATCCACTCTTGGAGGTCAAGTTTACCATGTTCACTCTGATGATTCCAAGTTCAACTCTGTTTAGGAAGCTGGAGTACAGTTAGAAAAGAATGTATGGCATTTAACCTAACCATATGTCACATATCTCAGTGTCCTCATTCTGGAGCAAATGATATGGCAAGATAAATTTGTCATCCTTATGATTATTACATTCAATTCAGAAAAATCTTTAGCCATTATTCAGAAATAGAAACTTTAAATGTGCTCAATAAGTCATGAGAGTTTTCTGGGGCAGAACTTGAATCATTATAGTTGGAAATATTGGTGGAAATGACTTCACCTTCAGTAGTCAGTGAAAATAACACTGATATACTAGTATAATTTCATTAAGTATTCAAATTGTGCATTGAAACTTCCTTTGTTAACTGTGTGAAATGAAGTAATGAATGTGACCTCATGAATGCATCCAGGAACAGCCCAGTGGCAAACCTAGGGATGTCCATTCAAAGAACAGTCATATTTCTTGTTACTGAAAGACTAGTAACATTTTATTAAGATTGCATTTGGTTGGAATGAACTTCACAGAACAATCTTGTAGAGTGAAATAAATCTCAGATTGTGATATCACACTTTATTTCATAAATATGTATAATCATTACCTGTCAACTAAAAATAAATAAATTAAAAAATTGTAACATGCAGGTGCTGCTAATACCAATATCAAATCCTGAGCTTTGGAACTGGAGAGAACTTGCAACTGAGTGATGGTGGCTTGTCCTCAGACAATACCTTTCTACTTTTAAAACTGTAATTTAGGAAGACTTGGGGTAGGACATTTTCAATTAAATTCATTTGAACAAATAATGACATTTTCTAGAATATATATAATTATTTCTATGAGATAGGCAGAATTCTATGTGGAGGAGTATATGTCTTTCAGTATTATCTGTGTGACTTCCTCAATGAGAAAAAGAAGCCTTTATTTTTTTCCCCTAGAATTTGATATGCATTAGATAGTGGGTTCCTGTTTCTTAAAATAACTGACCAACTAAATAAATAAGCCAACTCTTGATCCTAATATACCATAATCATTAGAGGAGCTAGGCGATACTTTTTCTGTGTTATTATTATAGTATAGTAGAATAACTCCTCTGAGTACTGGAATCATTGTGCTGTGATATTAACCTTTTTTTCTTGTATCTCTGTCTTTTTTTCAGTACTGGGGATTAAACCAGAGCTTCACACAGGCCAGGCAAATGCTTTACCATTGAGATATATCCCCAGCATTACTTTTTTTTTCCTTTATAAATCTGTGGACTTGCTGAAAGGTCAATTGGTATCATTATTACTTAGTTTCTCCTACATAAAAGTGATTCCTTCATTGCCTCTGTCCATTTCTCCACCCTTGACAATGATAGCTAATACAAAGAGTAATAATTAACTGTTTAACTAAGTATCTACATGTCTGATTTCAAATCTGTGCATCCAAAAACTTAGTGATCAAGTTACATGAATCATGCCTTCAGAAATTATGGTTTATTCCATTTGTTAATCCCTAAGCAACAGCAAAAGGCGAAAAATCCATTGAATTAGCATCTTAACTGTTTTTGCTATGATTTATTTTGAAAATCCACTAAAACTAATCTTTAGGATACATGGTTTTCCACAAGGAACAGTCCCAGGTCCCAGTCCCCAGCTCACTCAATGTGATTAGGGGAAGGCAGAGCTGCACTTCTTCAAAGGGCTTCTGTAGCCTTCTTGTTCTTACTATTTTCCCGTTCTTCCATCAGGCATGACTATCTCCATTGCTGGAGATGCTAATTCCTGGCTTGCCCTATACCAAATATTGGATGGTAGCTTTGAATTTTTTTGTTTTTGTCTTATTTATTTATTTTTTTAGTTGTAGATGGACACAATACCTTTATTTTATTTATATATTTTTATGTGGTGCTTAGGATCAAACCCAGTGCCTTATATGTGCAAGGCAAGCACTCTGCTGCTGATCCACAATCCCAGCCTGATAGCTTTGGATTTTAAAATAAAATATGAATGTATTAAAGCAATTAACTCATGGTTTAAAATTTATTGTCACTGTTTGAAAATCAAAGCATCATCCATTTTCCACATCTAGTATATATTATTGATGTAACCCAAGAAAAATCTCCACCCTTTAACCACTCCATTATGGAGTTTTTCCATAGGAGAAAGGGAGAGGAAAACCACAAGAAAAACTTTGAATACTCTCACATACATACAGAAAGATGTGGGTGCGCGCACCCCCACAGATTCTATTCTCCACCACTTAGACGAATACATTTTAATTTTTAGCATCTCTGTAGAAATAGAGAATAATTTCTATATCTTGGTTCATAATTGGGAAATTTTATTATTTGCAATTGATTAGTGCATCTCTTCTCAAATAGGAAGGAGGGGAGTTTCACTTAGGATTAAGGAAGCTACTGTGGGAACACATAAAATTTTCATTCAATTCTTTCAAGTCATGTTGCATTTGATCCTTTATTTTATAACAGAACTAAAACTATTTTTGGCGAGTTTTGTGATTTCTTTCAACATTATTTTCCCCATCACTAGCCACTTATATGCAGTTTGTATTTTATTATATAAAACATTTCTAAACTTTGTCCACCTGTTTTTGAATTTTAAAGTGTTGAAGCCTATTATTTTCCTGAAAGTAGTTCTTCTTTTTTAAGTAACTCAACTCTTCTGATTAATCACAGGAACTTCTGCAAATTTAGCATCAAACTCTCCTTTCTGCCACTTTACTGTTATTTCCTAGGAGTTGGCATTGCCAATCATTTAGATGAGAAAATTTAGGTGACTTAATTAAGTCATTTCTTACCTAAATACAAATGAAATTACCTCTGCCCTTTCTGCTTTCCAAGTCAATGACTACCCTTGTGCTCAGTTTTGCTCTATCTCAAATGTTTGCCCTAATGCAGTTATTCTTTCTCTCTTTGTCTCTCTCTGAATACATGTGTGTAAATAAAATCCCATGTCAAACTCCCTGTTAAATAATGTTGATTTACTGAGAATATTTTTAATGAACTAATTATATTCATCATTATGTAATGTTTATATATACACACAAATACATGTTTATACATCAGATTTAGATAGATATAATTATTTTATCTCACCTGTTCTAAAGAAAAGATCCTTACTAGACATGCAGTAATTTCTTATAGTCTTCCTTTTCTTTATTCCTGTTCTCCTGAACACTATACTATAGACTATAATAGTCCATAGCCTGTGTACCTTCTCTTGTTTTTTTTTTTTTGCAGGATAAGGGTTACTGAGGATTAAACTCAGGTACACTCGACCACTGAGCCACATGCCCAGTCTTATTTTGTATTCTGTTTAGAGACAGGGTCTCACTGAGTTACTTTGCACCTCACCATTGCTGAGGCTGACGTGGAACTCATGATCCTCCTGCCTCAGCCTCCTGAGCCTCTGGGATTATAGGCTTGGGCTTCTCTGCCTGGTTTCATTCACTTTTGTAACCATGTTTTTCATGTTTGTATCACGAGTCCTCCCATATGGCTCTAGCAAATCCACAGCTGACTGTCCCAATGGTAAATTCAATGTTCTCTTGTTATTTTGTTGTTATTTTAAATTCCATTTCTTAAATATACAACACCATTTTACAATTTTTCTTACAAGACATCTCTCTTCTACTGACTCTGTGCCACTCATCATTGTTTCTCCCCCTTCCTTGGTGAATATCATTTCTTGTTCTCTATCCAGGTTCTTTTCTATATCTCTATTGAAATTTGATGGTATTAAAAATATCTGTCCTGGGGCTGGGGATTTGGCTCAGTGGTTAAGTGCCCCTGAATCATTCCCTGGTACCAAAATTAAAATATGTCTTCATATGTCCTATCATTTATTTCACCCCAAAATATTCTTGTAAGTGCTATTGAAAGTAGCCAGGTTAACTTTTTTCTGCCTGTTTGCAATTTTTACTAGCCTAGGAGAGTTTAAAGGACTGCCCTATATTTTCTGAGTTGCAGAAGTTTACATCCAACTTCATCATTAGCACAGAGCTCCCTCAAACTGGGGTTTTCCCATCATAACTCATCTCTTCTACCAACCAATTCCTTGTAACTCTTATCTTTAAAGCAATTTAACTCATGCTTTAAAATTTATTGTTACTGCTTGAAAATCATGGAAGGTACAATTTCTTTTCATCAGCACATTCTATCAAGCATCAACATTTTACCTGTTCATTATCTCTTCTAATTATTACCTCTTGTACTCGTAGATAAGTTCTAACCTTCAATTTCTCTGGTAATATTTTGTTAATTCAGGCTTATGTTACTTCAATATAATTTCTGTGTTATTGCTAGGATGATCAATGATGCAAATCACATCTTGTAGCATTTTTAATTTAACTGTGTTATTTTTATTATGAAATTAAACCCTTAAAACCTAGGATCCAAACAATATCTTCTACTATATGTTCCCTGAATGGCTTTCCAGTATTACTCTCATTGTGACTTCTCCAACCTCATGTTAAAACCCAGGTTATAATAATGTTAATCACCAATTTACTTTCACTGAACCAATCATATTTTATCATTATGCTGTTTATTATTTTAATCATGTTCTTCCTTCTATCTGTAATTCCTCATATTGGAAGTCCTCCTTATCCAATTGGCAAATATTTGTGTCCACTGAGACACCTTACAATTTACTTAACTTTATTATACTAATGTGTTTGCATATATTTCTCAGCATATTTAGCTGTTCTTAATTTGGGGGTAGGGTATTCTGTGTCTTACCTGGAGTTATATCTATGTGACTGACATAGGCACAGGCACTTTAGCAGGTGCTGAATCTGGAAAGGTTTCACTCACCAGAGCTGATCTTAAGTCGTAGGAACAAATCTCAGTTAATCCTCAAGATTGAATATCTTTGTTGTAGTGTCAAACCATAATTTTTTCATGTAATAAAGGATTAAAATATATATGAGATTGAAGAGGGAGCATAGATCCAGGGACATTTTAACTTCCCATTAAGCCAATGACA